TTTAGTGAACATCCTTCACTATAATTAATAGTTCATCAATAGTCTTGTTTCTCTCAGAACACAAACTGGAAAAGGTTTTCCTTATCTGCCCTGAGCTTTTCTCATGTGCTGAGTGCTGCTCCCCAAAAAGCTGCTGGGTGTTTTGGCATGGTGGAAAGAGACAAGGTCTGTGTTCTCATCTGGGACATGTCCACAGCTCCATTAGTGAGCAGCTGAGCTGCCCAAGTACCAACGGCACGGTATGCTCTGACCAGGAGTGTTTTTATGCTGAATAATTCTGTCTTCGAAATGCTCTGTATTTCTGTATATCCATCGGTGAGTGCATAAATTATTGGCACTGAGAACTAATCTAAAATAGGGATGTGACAGACTTAACAGAACTTATCATTATATCTTGCCTAGATATATTTTTTCCTGGTATTTGCTCTTCAGGTTGAAAGAGAATGTTTGACTATGAATGAACAAAAAAAATGCATCCCTGGCACTGCCCGAGGCCAGGCTGGACACTGGGACAGTGGGAGGTGTCCCTGCCATGGTGGCACTGGTTGGGCTTTGGGGTCCCTTCCAGCCCAAACAGTCTGTGATTATATGAAAATGAAGGTGATCAAACCAACCAACCAAGCTATGACCTGAAAGCAGCTGGATTTCAAAGGATTTGCTCTTCCTGGTGAGAAGAAGAGGAGGAAACAGTTTTTATTACTTCCAGAAGCCAGGGTGAACTCAGAGATGAAAATCTTTTCCATGCCTCCGGTCTGTGCAGGAGGGGTATCATTAAGTGATCAGACTGATGCCAGAATGTGTCCCTGGGCAGGCAGAAGCATGTTTTCTGCAGGGCAGAGGTTGGGGGCAGAACTCACTGAGTCTTTGAGTGTGCTCAAAAACCCCTCTGGAGCAGGGAGCCCCAGCCCCAGGCAGGTCTCCAAGTGATGACGATAATTTCAAGTGCCATCTTTGGTATCACGGTTTTATGTCCTTAGTAAATGACAAACAATTCAAATGTCAAGAATGCCTTATCACTGGGAAGTTTGTTTTTTTTTTATCCTTGTTTCCTGGAGTTTTACCAATCCAATGATCCAAGTTGTCTGAATCAATTGTGAGAATTTGGAGGTAATTTGTTCCAAAGAGACAAGGATCAGTGCGTTCCCTTGGCTCCTTATTAGCTGGAAAGGGTGGGGGAAAGAAAATGAGCATGTAGCTTAGTAGGAAATCAAAAATGGTCTGTGAGTGTGTGTCTGGACTGGCTTATTCATGACTGTGATACACTTGTAAAATATGCTGGTGGTGCTACACAGTCGAGAACACAGCTTGCCAATGCTGTCAAATTACTATTTATTTCCTCTTAATTCCACTGGGTGTGACATTTATACATCCAAATGTCCAAATACATCTATCATTTGGTCAGAGGTTTTGTTAGCCCTGCTACAGCCCTGAAAGGTTATTTAAGTTTTTGCATGTGGGAATGACCAGCTGTGGAGGTTTTAGAATTGAAAAGGGTATTTCTATTTTTTGACCTGACTTGACTTCTTCTCTTTAAAACAAGTCTTTTGTGTTTTAAAACAAGCCCCCACCTTTTCTTTTTTCCCTGGAATAAACAAAGCCATATATAATTTTACCCCTTTAAAACCTCCTGGTCTTTCTTTGGGGGAAGGAAGTATTTTAACATTTGAGTTTTTACAGTATACAGTATTTTACATTTTGTAATGTATTTTAACCATTGAGTTTGTCAAAGGTAAGTGTTGGTATGTGGTGTGAATGATGTGATAGGCTCCTCTGAGTATGTAAATGGGTGATGCAGAGGGTGTCAGTGCAGTGTGTTTAGATTTTGTGTTTGTGTTATTTTGAAAAAGAGATTATGTGGGTTAATTGGGCCTGCACAAACTGGAGGGCTGTTCCTCAGCTGAAGCAGTCTGCACAAACATGGCCATTCAGTGAAATGTTGTGGCAGCTGGGGATGGGCACTGCCTGCTGCCCAGAGAGCTGGGTTTGGAAGGAAAACCTCTTTTCCCATGGCACAGCTTCCAAAGAGTCCATTTCAAACAACATAAATGATGATGAGATGCTCTCATAGGAAGTTCTGAATGTGACAGATCAGCAAGGAACTTCCCCAGTCCTTAATTAAGTAATTATCTCCCCTCCTGATGTCCCAGGAGCTGGCAGCAGCAGCTCTTTCCCTGGAAATGTTTATAGCCAGGTCCTTGAGGAAATGTTGGCATTCCCTCCCACACCAGAGGGGATTACACCAGTTAGTAACACTCTTCTCAAGGTGCTTTTCATTCAGATTAAGGAAACCTTGGACAGCCTTCCTGCAGCTCCTGGTGAAGCAGGAGGAGACAAGGCAGCTGCAGTGCCAAAGGTGGTTTTATTCCAGAGTCTCTGAAGCTTGGCTGGTGTTCCATCAGAAGAACCTGGGCTCCATCTGTCACACAGCCAAAGGGAAGGGAAGGTACCCTGTGAGCAGACAGGTCATGCTCCCTGTGCTACATGACACAGGGAACAGCTCCTGGAATTCAGGCAAAACCTCTGGACATGGGTGATATCCTGACTGGCTAAAAACCACAGTGCCTTTGGCCACACGAGCCCTTCAGGTTTGAGATGGAGTAAAAAAATTTACCACAGAGTACAGGTTAGCTGTGGGACACTGGTCGTGTTGCACCTGGGGGGGATTTTCCCCAGTTTTTAGATCCTGCAGAATGAGTATTCCTCCACACCTTTTGCCTTGTGGCCTAGAGGTGTCATGAAAAGAGGTGCTATTTATAAAAATAGCCAGGTAAACAACTGAGGCCTCATGTTCAAAACCCATTTTTCACTGTGGATCTCCCATGCCTGGCATGCTGATTACACTGCAGTACAGGACTTGAGGGAAAATGCTTCTCCAGGCAGCCAAGTGCCATCAAACACATGTGAAGCTTTGTGACAGATGCTGGGAGCACTCCCCAAACGTGTCTGGAATGAGTAAAAAACAAGAGAAAAGGGGAGGGAAAAGAAACCTGGCTGGAAAACTTTTCTTTGCTGGAAACGTTTGGACTAAATAATGTATAGTTGCTGCCTGAGTATGAGAAGCAGGTTTACATCACACTTTCCTGGCTTCTGGTGGGTTTCACCATGTTCAGCATTTTAAATCATTAGGAAGATGCTGGTTTTGTTTCCTTTTCTCTAGAAGATGATTATCAAAGGGAAAAGGGAGGAAGGAATCAAACATGATGAGCCTTCCTAGGCTTCAGAGAGTGGGCTCTGCCCCAGATGCCAGTGGGACAGAACTGGAGACAAACTGGAATAGTAACAGCCTCAGAGCACTAACAGAGCATTTATTCGCTCCACCACGGAGCAGCCTCACCTCTTGGTGACACTGTATTTCCAGTGCTCACTGCTGTGGTCACGGAGGTGGAAAGGGCATTCACAGAACAAGGACATTGTTCCAAGAACAGGAAATCTTCCTGTCATCCTTGGACTCCACTTTGTCTTTCCTCCTCCACCAGCCACGTCTGCCCAGCTGCTTATCAGTCCCTCCAGAGCATCAGACCTTCACCGTGATCCCATCTCTTACTCATGCTTTACTCATTTCCCAACATGGCAATTACTGCTGTTCCATTCAGCCTCCCTAAATCCCTGCTTTCAATTTGAGGCCATGTAAAGTGCAGATGTGGATGAAAATTAATACAGTATTGATCCATACCAAGTACATGCAAAGGTATCAAATACTCTGTGTGTCCCAGGAGCAGCACGTTGTGTTTCAGATGTTTGGGCATCAACAACATCCACAATGCTGTTTGGGAAAAAAGGATGAAGTCCCAATGTGGAAATACTTTTCCACAGTAGCAGGCACAACTACAGCTTCAGTCACATTTAATCACTGTTCCTTCTGCACAAAGAAATGTGTACAGACCTGCTGTGGCTGCAAACTCTTTTGCAGGACAAAAACAAAGCCAAGAAAGCAAAATGGTTTTAAGATTCTAACCTGGGAAACCAATATTTACTCTATAACTTACTAAAAGATATGAGGTATCAATCTCTTCAAAGCTAAAAACCAAAGACCCCAATCCTGAGGCAAACACCTGCCTGAAGCAGCAATTTCAGAACTGCGGTTTATCAGTTTAGAGATCTTGTTTCCAGACTTTTGCTGAGCAGCCATGCAGTTAGCACCTAATGAACAGCCTGAAAATGTCATTTATGGGAAAAATTTAAAAAAAATTCCAACTAGGAAGTATCTATCACCCACATTTACGGCAAGAGGATGAGAAGCCATATAATAAAGTTTGAACAACAAATAACAGCCAGGAAGAGGCCTGTCAGAGCTTCTTGGATGATAAAACCTTAACAGAGAAGGGTTTTGCACAGTTCCTCCATATTAATAATTTCAGGCACTCAAGAGCAAAAAATTTCATTGGGTTCTTTCACTGGTATTCCTACCTGCAGCTAAACCCCAGGGATTATTAAGAATTCACCTGGTAATTAGAACATCTTGGATGACTAGGAAATATGTATCATAAAAATGCCATTATTTATTAAAAGCAGTAATAACTGGAATATAAGTGCTCAATATAAAAAGTTTCCAGATGATTCTCAGCATATTTTGAACAGTCAAAACCCAAGACTTTTTAGGAATGTCCCTTCCCCCTCTTGAGGAACAGCTCCTTTGAAATCCAAACCTGAATTGCTTTGATGCCCTGTTTGGAGCAGCATCCACGTTTAAAGTTACAGGGCAGCAGATTGTGCACTCCCCACATCCCCTGCCCAGTCCATGCTTCTGTGTGTGCACAGCATGGTTACAGTCCTACAGCTCTGCACTGCCAGGGGGATTTACTGGCCCAAATCGGAGAAATCTACCTTTCCTGAGCCCAGAATACAAAAGTTTGGATGGCTACTTCTGATGGTGATTTAGATTCGCGGGTACACGTGAGACAACACAAAGGCTGTAACTCAAAATAAGTTTTTTGCCTAGTTGCAGGATAATTTGGATTGATGAAAATAACGTTTTCAAACAAGAATGACAAGAGGTAACATACCTTTAAGTGTGTTTTACTTTTCAGCTTTGTTCCTTCTGATCACAAGCCTTTCCACAATAACAAATACTGCAAACACACAATTCTCCCACATTGAACCAGTATGAAGTCACACAGGTGTCTGACACAACACACACCTGTCAAGAATTATTGAAGAAGTCACTAGATCACTGAAAGTGTGCAAAATTAAGAAATATGTGCTAATGGGAGGTATCATTAAAAGTAATTAATCTTTACTACTGGTGAGCATAATTTAGTTGCTTCAACCTTTGTATTATGACATGCAACTTCCTTATCTGCAGCTAACTGTTCATTCTGATAACTGAGAAATCTTTCCATGCATGCAACAGCAGCAGCAGAGTGTTTTCAATTCTTTTCTCAACATTTTGAAATCTCTAAAAATGAGTACATGTGGTTTTTTACAGAGAACAATCCAGGTGTCTCAGATCCCCATCTCTGCCTTATCAGCAGCTAATCACACATCACTACAATTATGGTCCCTGCCTTTATTTCACATCTTAACAACAGAAATATTAAGAGTTTATTTGAGAAATTACAAGTTTAGAAAGAAATAACTGAGTGTAACTTAGGTCAGAGGTCATATTTTTAGGATGAGAGTGGAGACATCACTTACAAATCAAGAGGAATTATTTAGGCAGCAAGAACTAAAAATACTTTGATAAACATCCCCTAGAGTCAAAACACTCTTTATTCTTCAAAGGGTGGTCTTATTGCTGTGGCTGATTTACCATTTCAGTGTTTCATTCAACAGATCTACTGGACAAGAAATTTTGAAGAATTAGAAACAGCAAGCCTTTTCAACTGCATGTTGTTTAAAAAGAAACAAACACAAAGAGCTCCCCTGAAGCTCAGACACACACCAGACACCCTTCCATGAATTACTGCAGGAGTGTCAGTGCCGACCTGGCTGAACAAGCACATCTCATCTGGGTTGTGATCACTAATGCTGGTCCATCTGCAGGGGTGGCCACCAGGAGAGAGGTTATCCATCGTGTGAGAGGAGACTTGCTGAGGCTTCCCATCCTTTCTTGACACAGGATCTGCTGTTGGCTACCTGGGGACACTCTCCAGCTGCTACTGCACAAACAGGATGCTGAAGGCCATCACCACACAGCACACGGCCACGTAGGGGCTCTTCCTCTCACCTGCCAGGAGGGGAGAGAACCCAGAGCAAACAGAAATTCAGGCGTGGTTAAACAGGTTAAACAGACACACCTGCTCCTAGTCTAGTGTAACTCTGCTACAGCATGTGCAAACTGGTATTCATCATTTCCAGCTGGAGGAAGGCAGGCAGAAGTACAGATGTGTATTCACAAAGAAATGCAGGGGCAGTGGGGAAACCTGGATGCAGGACACCTTGTTTTGATACATAAAAACAGAGTTGGGGCTCTTTGCTTTAAGGGAGGACTTGTAAACATGGCAGGGAGTGACAGGACTATGGGGAATGGCCTCAGGCTGAAGGAAGGCAGGGCTGGCCGGATCTTGGCAATGAGGAATTGTTCCCTGGCAGGGTGGGCAGGCCCTGGCACAGGGTGCCCAGAGCAGCTGGGGCTGCCCCTGCATCCCTGGCACTGCCCGAGGCCGGGCTGGACACTGGGACAGTGGGAGGGGTCCCTGCCATGGCAGGGTGGCACTGGGTGATTCCGGGTCTCTGTGCCAGGCCCATGTAAAGGCTGCCACCTTTTGTGAGGTGCAGTTTTATGTTGCTGCTACCTCCTAGTGCCAAAGTCAGGGGGCAGGCAGTGGAAGGCTGCCTGGGACACCCCATTTTTGCTGGTTCTGCTGTTGTGTGTCAGCTGAGGTGCAGCTGGTGCTGCCTGTCCTGGTACCTGCCACCTGCAGCCTGAATCTTCTGTGCAGGGTGTCATGCAGCAGCCAGAGCTGTGGGCTCACAGCTGCCCAGACAGAGCCAGATGCCTTTTTTTACTTTTTTAAGAAGACATAACATTGTTAGCATGTGGAGAGGATCTGGTCCACAGATTTCCATGATAAAAATTGTCACAGAAGCTGCACAGACACCTCTATTTTCTGACTCTTTCAATTGGTGTCAGAGTTTCCCAGGGCAAACTGTGAAAGAAAGTTAATTTTACTCCACTAATATACTTTTATCTGTGGATGGAAATATACATTAATATACTTTTATCTAGTGGCAAAAGCAATCATGAGAGATCTATTCCCACCCATTTGGTCCAGGACAGAACTTTACAGAGGTCTATTTTTCTTGTTCTTCAAGAAAAAAAAAATCTTCTCAGGTGGGGAACTGTAACACAACCAGGGGAACATCAGTAATGTTAATCACACTGGTACCTACTTACACGAGCACTTTTTACATTAATTAGCAAGATGTTCTTACACTTAAACTTTATTCTTCATGGTTCCACTGAATTCTGCTTGGAAAATTCAGCCTACGGAACTGCCAGGGAGGGTTAACACTGAAATGTGTCTTTCAAGTGAGAAGATCCCTGTTTCTACACACCCAGGAGTATAAAGACAGAGCTGGGGCTGTTTGGTTTAAGCAAAGTTCAATTTCCCTTTGCTGTGTGAGGTCTTTTGTCTTTACAAACCATCTTATCAGAGACACAGTTTTCAGAGAAACATTAAAGAAAAAACCACCAAGGCTCCCAAGTCTAGCATGGTGCAATTTTTATGAAAAAAAAGCCTTTTCCTTTACCAGCAGGACCTTTAAACACACAGGGAACAAACTTTCCACAGTAAAAGAAAAATAAAATACTTGCAGTGACACCTCCCATACACAGGATTGACTGTCCAGTGACATTACAAGATTCTGTCATGATCTGGCATATATTTAATTAAACTTCAAATAACTGAACGAATTAATGTCTGAGTTTCACATCTGTTTAAAATAAATTTTGAGGAAGTCCAACTCCTACGGTTCAGGGTATTACAATTTTCATATGGGTTATGCTTTTCTGCTCTTAATTTTCTTAAAAGAGAAATCACCATGTGGCAGGATTAAACATTATTTTGCACAACTTTGTAAATATGTAACCACTTGCCGGTGATTAAGATCTTATGTACATGTGAAAAGGTTGTTTAAACATACCAGGGATGTGAAATGTAAAGGAAGCCAGTAGACATTTTCATTTTTAAAACCTACGCTTTCTACTTGCCTTTGTGACTAACACACATAAAAGGAATCATCTCCAAAGCCCAGTTCTTAGTCTACAAGAAAGTCAAAGTGGTCCACTCTAGATGCAAGTTGCAAAAGGAACATAGCTAATTGAAAAAAAATATCCTTGCACTTAACTACAAAGAAGATGGCAAGGTAAGGTGAGGTGCTCTCTTCGGCTTTGAACAAACCCTAATGCAGCTGAATTTTTTACATTTGTTTCACTGGTATAGCTCAAAATTCATTTCTGACAGCTGCCACCTTCCCAGTATCTTTCAATTACAGCACTAAAATTGGTTCTGCAATGTCTATTATCTAAATAGGACAATATCTGCAATCATTTTAACAACCACTCTTCAGCAAAACCCTGTTTTTTGTGTCAATGCTTTTCTGACATCCAGTAAAATGTTCTGCCTGGGAATGCAGAAAGGGAATCATAAAGGCTTTCTTTAGGTTCAGTGACAAGTAGGAAGCTCTAGAATTACAAGTTCAAAGTTTCTGCTCTGAATTAACAATGCAATTTGAACACTGATGACGGGTTAGTAGTTTGGTTTTTTTTTCCTAAATTGTGGATATACCTTAATGTTAAGACTAAACTTCTGTTGCATATTCCAATTTCCTTCTCAAAATAAATTCAGGATAAGGATTAAAATAAATATAAAACCAATGTTATGGGAAAATGTCAAGAATCAGATAGAGCTGATCAGCCTGTGTGCAGATGTCACTTGACACGAACAGCTTTGTGTAATTCAAAAGTGCACAGAAGCTGAGCAAAGAAGGGAAAGGAAGAAAACCACATTTATGCTTAAAGAGAACCTTAATGCATTATGAACTCCATGTTGTTTTATTACTGTAAGGTAAATATCTGGGGGTTTTTTAAACAGTCCATTGCAATTTCAAACAGACTGCAGTTTATAAGAAAACATTGATTTCTTTGCATGTCATAAATGCACCCTTTATTGTTTCATGTGGCAAAAAGTGCAAAAGACTTTTGAAAATGTAACATTAGATATATGAACTGACATGAGAAGATGCAGGATTTCCATTATGCTAATCTAAGAAGGCAATATCCTGCCCCTTTATTTCATGGAGGTAAAAACTTGCATTTTTGAAGACAAAGGATGTGTATGGTTTTCACTGCTACATGGCAACACAATCCTAATAAATTGTGGTAGAAATAGGATTGATCTTAAGGATTTTGAAGGGAAAAAAAGCCAAAAAACAATTACCAATCCTGGCGCATTTCCAGAATATCCCCAACAATCTGTAAAGATAAAAATAAATTCATTACGGTCTTGGTTTAATACATCCAAGTCAACTGATTCTCTTTATGTTAAAATAATCTGAATTGACAGTAATTTGTCAACGTGGTTCCCCCCTGAACACCAGAAAACAGGAGATACCTGCACGTAAGGGTACAGAGTATGAATTACAGAAGCGGCAAAGTTGTAAGTCTAGCAGAGGTCTTTTTGCATGAAAAAATCCATTTAACTTGTTCCGTGTTCCAGATCTAAAGACTTCACCAGAACCCCATATTTATCTACAATACAGTATCCCAGACAGACAGTTTTGTGAAGAAAAAAAATCTTCCCAATTCTTCTGGTTCTTTCTTATTCCTTTACCAAAGTTTGCCTTGCTCATATCTCTGCAATGCTGCTTGCCCAGGACTTCACCTCTCACAAGTGAAACAGCAGTGGAGAAAAGCAGAATTCAACCCAAAGGCATGTCACAAACCTGTAATTTCTCTGTGTAACTAAAATAATCTCCAACTGACAGCTCCAGAGGAGCAGGGACTGCTTTAGGGTTTGAGGAAGACAACTGAGGTGTCCTGTGTGAGCAGATGGATTTCAGCCCTTCAAAGCTTGTCTGCAGGAAGGTTTCCTTCACACATGGCACAGAACACTGTGGGAGCATGTGGAGAGCTGCATCCAGCAGGCAGTAAATACAACCCCACAAATAATGTTCGGAACTCACACCCACAAAGGTTTGATTGTCTTTGCCTTGGGCTCTGAGAGTTGCTTACTTCTAACACATCTAAATGCAGACAGGTAGGCTTGGGCCACTTGCTCCTGCATGCTTGAGCAGTCAACATATCTTTTATTTCTCTTCTACTTCCATTTTAAGTGCTCTTTTATAGTCTTGCTTTACTTTAGCATCTCTCTGTCCATTTAGCAGCCTCCTCTATTTCTGAGACAAAGATTCAGGGCTGGGCAGGTGAAGACCAAGGGTGGCAGCAAGTGACCAAGGTAAAGTAAAATGCTTTTTGACTTATGTACCCCTTGCTGACCAGTTCATCACTAACAGCATTCCATTTCCATTTTTAGAAAGCAGGCATTTCCATCTGTGCTTCAGATTTTAGTTTTATCTCAAGCAAAATATATATACAAACATACATATTTAGAATTGACTATATTTCTGTACTGCCACAGCTCACTTTTTCCTGCTTTTATGCAGCTCCACAAGCAGAAGTAATGATCCCTGCATATAGAGCACCACACTTTTCCAGGCTAAGAGGTCACACAATAAAGTAATCTGAAGACATTTATGCACTTTTTGAAGATGTGTGCAGGTAGAAAGGCATTCATGTGTAATTCTTAAGTGCTCCACTGATAGCACCTCAGGTTTTCAGAACTGTTGTTCACTCTCTGTAAAATTACAATTTACAGATCGCATGCTGCAAAACCAACAGAAAAACTTCCACAGCCCTGCTTCTCATTTTGCCATCTCTCAAAACCTTCCCCAGGAGCTCAGAGAAATAAAACACTAACATTCTGTCCATATGCTTTTGAAGAATCTTGCATGGGAAAAAGAATATTAACCCTTTCAGGCAGCCTAGAAGTCTGTTGAATTTGCCTCACCATCTCAGCAAGGGTATCTTTTCATCTTCTCAGATTTGAAGCCACTACTGCACATTTCCCTACAAAGCCCCCTTGGTGAAAACAGAAATTTTTCTGATGTGCCAGGTACAAAACAGACGATGGGTTTCACCAGCTGTCCTTAACAATTGCAATTAACAATTTATGAGGACTGACCAGCCTTTCCATGATGACACCAGAACATCTTAAAGAGGCTTTTGTGCTACTGGAACAGCTCATTACCTCTGTTTGTTCACAGAAGCTGCTGCTGAGCAGAAGCAGACTGAATTCTGGACCTTCTGATAATGCACCTTCTGGAAGAACTGGGGAGCTCTCACTGCAGGAAAAGCCTGTGCAGAGCTCTTTCCTGCTCCTCTGGTTTTTCCATTAGTGCCCATCCCAGGTCCACAAGAAGGACCTCTTCAAATCAAAACCTGCTTATTACAGAAGTGATGCTGCCTTGAGTAACTCTGCTCCAAAACAATTCCTCCTGCAGCAGCTCCTTGGTGTAACTGCACCCTTTGTGTTCCGCTCCATCCTTGCTTGGAAGCAGGTGAAGGTGTGGATCTGGCTGGGATCCCTGCTCTTTCTGGCACCCAGAGCCCAAAAGTGCAGGACCTGCTGCAGATTCCTGGCTCTCAGTGCTAAATGCTAAAAGCACTCGTTGTGAAAAGTGGATGCGGTTACCTGGAGGACAAAAAACCCAAATAAATGGAACCTCTTAAGCAAAGGAGGAGTTGGTGGAGCCTTAGACAATGACTGCTAAGACTGTGTGTGCTGCAAAATGCCATGTGTTCACCAGGAGAAGCCCAGTGCCACTGCAGGACGGAGTGTGAGACATCCCCAGTGCAATGCTGATGGAAAATCAAAGGGGATCTCCGCTGCACATGAGCTAACACATCCTTCTGGTTAGCAGGGAGGAGAGAATTACATTGTGGCGCACATTCTCCTCTAGTCAGCATGAAACAGTAAATCTCCACTTGCTTTCCCAGCCTTTAACACTGTTGCTCAGGACTAAGCACATGGAAACATTCAGGGAAAATGAAGGATTAAGGTTCTGTTTGGCTTGGTAGGAAAAGACACACTTTGGCAGAAATGAGGGGGAGGAAATACAGGGTTATGAGGATGGGTGACATCACTGTGCAACAGCATCTCTCAAACAACAGAAATATGTTTCTTCACTTATTATTAACAGATCTAAATCCCCAGCAAAGTTACCATTCACTCAGAAATACAGTGAATAACTATCAACCTTCCTCCTCTCCGTCACTTTGGTATTTTATTGCTACTTTTTTATGTCTTTTATTTGGAGCAGGAATGATGAGGTAACAGCGTCTCTGTGGCAAAATGAAACATCACTAGAATTTGTTTTATCCCACATGTCCAGACATTTCCACTGGAGCATGGAGTACATTAGAAGAGAGGGAAAGGGGTTTAGCACCATATGAGCTCCATGTAAACATCTACCATACAGGAAACAACTTTCACTGCTTCCAGGCCAAGGTTTTACTCTTCAGTACAAAGTAGTCTANAAAAAAAAAAAAATATATATATATATATATAACAAAATGGCATGTCCTACATCTACATAAATACAAACCTACACATCAAACGCCCAACTCCTCCACAGTGTCAGCACCCCTGGGAAACATTTTATGAAGAGAGTTCTATTGTACTCCAGACAGATTTGCCTCAAGAATAAACAGAGTAGCTCTAGATTAAAGGAAACACTCCTTGCCAAGAACAGCACTAAAATTTTAATCAGTAAAATAAACATTCTTACTTCTTACTGTGTATACCTCATTGACTATTGTGTTATCTTCCACCAGCAGACACCCAAACTCCCCTGGTCCCCCCACTCCCTGTCCTTCATGAAGTCATCCTTTCTTTCATCTTTACTTCCATCCAAAGAAACCTCTCATGTCAGTGACAATTTTGTGGCCTCATATAAAAGGACACAAGTGTTTTCATGTTAGTACTCCAAATTAAGAAAAAAAAAGCTAGTGTAATTTGGGTACCTTACACTGCTAAAATTAAAAAAAACATGAATAAAACAGCAACCCAAGAGGCTAATTACAACGAAGGTTTTCAGAAAACAAACACTCAGGTGTTTGGTGTTCTTGGTCACAACACTATTTAAAACTGGACACTTCTGAATTTAAATGCCAAAGTGATGGAAGACACTGAGGGAAGAAGAACATTTTTATTTAACAGGAAATTACCTAATGGCAAAAGTGGAGAAGTCAAACACTCATTATCCAAAAGCCTGTCTGTTTTTCCACCTAGAATTACCTCCTGCTTCTACAAATATCACCTTCTTTGCACTAACCTGAGGTGACAGCATTACTGAAGTTCTGGGGACAGCCCCAGACATTCTGTGTCACAAGTGCCCAATGGTTACTCAAAACCCACCACACTTAAATCACAGTTCTGCTGATCACAGCTAGCATCCATATGACTAAAAACCAAAAAGTTAGGTTTGTAGAAGTTTTCAAAAACTCTTCTAGACATTCCCTCACCTTAGAGAATACAAAACCACGATTTGAACAGACCACACAAGAGGACTGCGTTGCTTATTTTAAAAAGTATTTTTAGTTTTCTCTTAGTTACAGATTATTGCTAAAGCTGTGTTTCAAACTTCTATCTGCAAAACACCTATCTTGAAAACAAGCAAAAAGCCAGTTTCTGCTGGCTCCTTATGCACCCTAGGAATCAAAAATAAATCATTGCAACGATAGCCACATGTACGAGAATGTTTTATTTCTGTCTCTCATTTCTATATCTCCAATAAGCATCTAACAACAGAGCTACAAATCTAGAAGATTAATAACACAGTATTAGCAAGGTTCGCAAGCCAATAAATTTTTTCAATACAATTTCAACTAAGTGCTTGCCAATACCTTATTGCACTCTGTTGTGAGGTACAAAATTAAGATTTTTATCTCTAAAGAGAGAAAATTTTCAAAGCAGGATCTGCATTATCACAGACCTCATCAGGAGATGCTGAAAACTGAACGCACACAGCTTGTGGATGTTAGAAATGATCAGGCCACATACCCGGATTTATTTTTGTCCAGTAAGCTGGGAGCCAAGGATCTGATGTAGGCACAGGTACATATGAGCAGCAGGATCACAGTCAGCAGACTCTGGAAGTTGAAGATGGCAGACTGTGGAAGAGAATCGGGGGAAAAAAAACCAATTACATCTCTGCAGTGCAGAACTCCTCTTGAAGTGGAAGTTCTGGAAAAAACAGGTGACCCCTCACACAACACCAAAAATGAAACCTACAACGAGCCAGAAAACCTTTCCATCAATGGAATAGGGTGGTGGTAGTGAAAATAGAGGTGAGGACTTAGTGGCAAAGAAACCAGTAGTAGCCAAGACAAAAAATAACACAAAATGTGCAGTAGGTTTGTTAATACACCACTTTTTAAAAGCTACAGGCCAAATTCAACAGATTTGTAGAAAGTTAAGCCCACCTGAACTATGATAACTGATTACTTTTATTTTCAAACACTGTTCTGATTGTAAATTGAAAACATCTTTACTGTAAATACACTTTCAGAACTGCTAGTTCTTTGGTAAATTCTGAAGAAATGCATGAAATTGCCTTAAGAAAGTTCTGTTGTTGACAGCAAACACTGATCAGCCTAGTGGCAGTGACAAGAGACAATTCTTGAGAAACTGCTGCAATATCTGGCAATTTACTGAAGCGTGAAATAACACTAATAAGCAGAAACTGCAACCCATAAACTTTTTTTTTAACCTTTTATTCTTTTTTTTTTAATGGTTTTTGGGTTTCTCTTAAGTGTCTCAACTGACATTCTGGTCAGTGTAACAGCACCAGGTGGTGTAAGAGGCAACTGCTTATTTCAAAAAGCTTTATTTTACCTTCACTCTGCTACGCTCATTTGCAAATCTGATTTAGTGTGAGCTCAAAAAAAAAAAAACAACCAAAAAAATGTCAAGACAAATGCAAGAAATTCACTCTTTGTTCTGGAATTCTGATGAACTTCTGTGTCCTGTGTTCGCGCTGCTCAACCCAGCTGGCCGAGCAGTGGTATTTAATTAAAGGTAAATATTTAGCACTTAGGAATGGATAATACATTGGCATTTCCTTCTCCAAGCATATTTTAGGGCACATCAGAGCCTTCATTTCTATGCAGCCAGAGGCACATCTCTGTTGGTGTGCATGTGCTTTCTTCCTATGTCACAAAATTAGAATGTTTTGAATCTATGATGGTCAAATCTATCTAGCTAATGAGAACTACAAAAGAAAACCACACTATTCTAGCTCACCATGGCACTAACAGGAAATTAGGAGAGAAAAATGACAAGCTCTAGTAGAAGGAAAGCCACTGGAACACACACCAAGTGCTCCAATACTGAGATCAAAAACCTGGTGACCAAAACCCACCAAAATCAACAGCAAAACAGAATAAAATACTTTATCTTATTTAGAAGTCTCCGTGGATCATATGGACTCCAGAACATGGACAGAGCTGCCAGTCTGAACACATGCTTTAGGTAGGGTTAGCTACCTAAAGTAGTTTAACTTAATGGGGTCCAACAGGCCATTCTGTTAAGAATCATTAGAGGTGCTCTTACTCTGTACCCTGTATAGGAGGGATTTCAGCATCCCTGAAACCCACCCTTTCTGTGATGAGGGAACAGTGATCCCACATCCAAAGCCAGCCTCCCTGTCCCAACCACGAGGCTGTGCTTGGTTTCCTCTCGCACTACAGCCTTTCCTAAATCAGATCTAATTCAGCATTTCAGCCCAACCGGCCACCCCTTCTTGTGCCCCATCATGTCACAAATAATGGACAGACTCTTCACCAAGGACAGCACGCTGCCATGCCCAGCCTCTGGAGCCTTTGTGCTCAGCAGAAGTTTCTGCCAGCTCCAGCAACCAGGCAAGTCTCAATTCCCCCCGGCTCCTGCGGGTCTAGGAACGCGGCAGGGCCGGATCCAGGAGCGGCTGCTCTCAGCACAGCCAGATACTGCCTATCAACTGATTAACTCCATCAGTCCTGCGGGACAGACGGACAGCTGCTCTGACAGCCCACAGCCCCGCGTTCCCATGGATTCCTGCAGCTGCTTCCCGAGGCGGCACCGCGCGCTCCGGCACTAAAAAATGGCACAAGGGCACACTTGCTTCCTCCAGAGCAGGGGCTGTAAACGTATACTCATGAAATGTGCTATCAGCCAGCCAACTGGGGCAGTACATAATTGTATAGAATTGTTCTTTGTTGGGGTCTTCACGTGTTTCCCCGGATATTTGGGGCTGTAATTGCATCTGCCCTTCCACGGAAACGCGCTCTGAATGACACGTTTATCTGCACAGCCGCTTTCAAAGGGCAGACGTGAGCGTTCCAAAATTTGCCTACAATTTTTGGAAATGAGAATTTATCCCTGAATTAGACAGTTTCGCTCTCCACATCTGAAGTAATTCTCATGGCCCAGCTGAATTCACAGAGAGCAGCAACCTACATCTGGCTGCTCCAACCAATGTAATTAAAAGCTGCTTCAAGAATTATACATTGGTCAGAATCCTTTTAAAAAACTGCATTTACATAGCAAGCTACTTGGACAATGTAGATGTGATGCTGTTCATTTGTTTAGACTGGGTTGCTCTGATGAAAATGTATTAATTCCAATTTTTGACTTGTGTTGACTGGCCTAGATCCTGTGAGCCTCACTCCCACTGCAAAGAGATCTCAGCACATGGAGAAACTGGTGCTGTCCCTTAGGCTGTGTCGCATGAGGGGGAAATGACAACTAACTTCAAGACAACTAACTATGCTGCAATGCCAAAAGAACCAGCACTGGCATTTTATTCTGGTTTTGGACAGTGCAAGCTTTAATTCCACATGCTGAAATTTTCTACATCTGCATTTCTGACACAGTGGGAACACCTCAGTTGCTCCATTCTGTCTCATTCCCCCAGGGTCCCCTCCTGTGTGGAGCATCACCACATCACCTGCAGCACCAATGAGGTATTGTATTCACCTGAACTTGAAAAAGACAAGTTTTTACCAATGTCTTTGGAAATTTAACACTATGGACTTCAGCTTTGAGAGCTACATGCCCAAAGGCTGTTTTAAATCCTTTCCAAAACCAGGCCTTTATAAAAAAGCCTCAACATTATTTCCTGATCATAACATATCTCAGTAAAAACTCCATATAATAAACCATAAAGAATTAGTACTCCTGAAATTTTTATTGTGTTGGGATTAACAGCAGTGGCTTGTACTAAAATAAATACTCATAGGAATATACAGTAATTGGAAACCCAGTGGTACAGCTAGAGTTGTCTGAATGTACTCTCATCTGAGTATAAACTGAAGTTTAATGTACTTTAATAAGTGTTGACTGGAAGCTAAAAGTTACCTGTGTGGCTGTGACAGGGAATCATGACAACAACTGCACAGCTCCTGCAAACCTCATCATAGACAATGCTGTCCCCCAGCATTAAATTTACTACACTTGGGCAGAAGAAGAGGAATAAAAGCAGCAGCTCGGAGTTGTGGTTACCAACAGTTCTTGCACTTCACAGGAGCATTTTACTCAATATGCAGAAATAACCATAAGAAATACACTAATTCCAAGCACTTTGCTGCACTGACAGCACCCATAGACAAGATACTGTAATTTATCCATTTCTGCAGTTCTCACTCACTCCCTCACCCCAATATCCTCCGCTTCAGACACGCTGTTGCTCCCTGTCCTTGCAGGCAGCACCACACGCACAAACCACCTTGGTTACAGATGCAAGCCCTGGGTAGCACAGCAATAAATCACACCCTAGGTTTGATGAAACTGTCAGTGTCATGAAGGACCTGCTGATTTTCCCCTTATCTAACAGACTTTTGTTCAAAATAAACCACCCAGTATCGTGGTTCCAGGGAAAATGAAACGTGCAGGAGGAGAACACAAACCCTATGCTGCCATCCTTTCAGGTTGGAAAAAGCCTAACACAAAAGCTCTCTGAGTTTATCTCCACAGACTTAGCACTGAAACCAAAGCTTAACCTTCCCTAGACTTAAAAAGTATTTACAAAACGATTATTTTATCTCTGATTGCAGTGTGACCATGATGATTTCATCCATCTGTGCTATAAAAGCAGAGGCCATTGTAGTGCCAGCAAGCTGCAAAACTTTGCCCTGTGGTTACTATTATAACAACCAATTTATGTAGGCAAACACAGATAAATAACTGGAATATTTTAAAGAAAGTATCATCTCTGCGTAATATGCTTTGGAATATTCAGTCTTTCTGGAATGTTTTATTTTTTTTTCTCCCCCATATAATGAAATTGATGAATAATGATGTTTTCTGTAATCAAATATGGATACCCAATCATTCAGCTGCCTTCCTCATACTGGAATATGAGCAAGAACATACATCCTGAAGTTAAACTTTAGTTAAGCAAGAGGTGATAAAAATTTAATCACAGAAAAGTTAAATCAAGCTGTGAAATTTTAACGAAGAGGTCCTTACAAATCTGAAAGAGAAAATGCTTATTATCTATGGTTTCCAATAGACCCCGCAATTCTTATTTCGTCAGTGAAATCAAATTTTTCAGAATATAATATTGAGAAAAATAATAGGATATAAATCACCTAGTACTACTCCCAACCTGAAAACCAAAGCAACTGCTAAAAAGTAATTAAAACATGCATCAAACTGTATTATTTTCCAATCTATTAAAAAAATAATTACTTTTCCCACTGCTGCCAAATGCAATCTGATCCAAACAAATGGAAAACAAGCATTTGTAAAAGAGGCATGCTAATTAGCATCATAGAAAAATTACAAAAAGTGCAAATTAGTGAAGTTTGAAGCAATTATTGCCAAAAGTACACAACAAAATTAAGCAAGGGCTGTTAGTAAGTATCCCAATACCAGCCAGATGCAGTTGTTCCAGCATAAATATGGCTTTTTACTTTGGATTTACAGCATGTTCTCCTCAGTGTTTCGTTTCCAAAGAATTTAAATACTCTATTTAATATTCATTCAGATCTCTGTCTGGTGTATTTTTGCACTCATGGAATGTAAGCTAAGGCTTGATTAGAGATATAGGGAATTTTTTTCCCAGTCATTTTCGGGAGAAGCACATTGTCAAGTTTAAATGGCAAGTACAACTAACATGTATGCTTTCCAGTCAACTGAAGACTAATAATACATCTATTTAAACCAATCTCCTTGAACAATTAAACACTTAATTAAACATACGGACACAGCTGCCCTCCCCTATAAAAAGCTCATTTGACTTTAGCACATTTAGGATTTTTACTGTAATTCAAATCCACAGACCAGCAGTGTGAGAAGACACCTCCAGGCAATGATGCTGAAATTTCACACTTGCTTGAATTCCTCCCTCTTTGCCCCAGTATCTAGTTTGAAAACTGAACTTTTGCTGCAAGCAGCTAGCTGATGCAGCATTTCACCGAAACATCTTACTCTAAAAAACAAAGTGACTACTGAAGTCTTTTACTGAGGTCACCGTAGCACAAAGGTGGGCATGTCCACATATTTACTAAACAATCAAAGAATAATGGTGGGTATGTCAGTAAAATCTTAAAATACCTTTACCCCCAGGCCTTCTCTGTACATTACACAGTTTTAAATTTTACAGAGATATTTTTCCTCTTCTGTCTTTCCCCATTAGATAAAAGCAGTATTTTAAATAGCCCCTTTTTTTTTAAAGTAACTCTGCCGTCTGAAGTTGCACATCACACTGTTTAGTTCACCATAAATGTAGTACTGAAACTGTAAAAAACAGTAAAACCTCTGTGTGTGAATGGAAGAGGTAAGAGTCATACTAAAGCACACTTTGAATCTGGTGACATCCTTACTATAATAAATGCAGCATGCAAAAATCATGAGTTTGCAACAGAAGTGCTACAGGAATGTGAACATGGCCATAGGAAGAAGTCTAACTTTTCAAAAAGGAAGATATGCTCTAATTTACCTAAAAACTACAAAACAGATCTGTAAATATTTTATGTATACCATTTACCAATTTTTTTTTTCATTCATGGTCAAACCATCTCTTTCAAACATGAAGAACAAATACCAGGAAAAAATATACTTAGTTAAAAAACAATGACAAGTTCTGCTAAGTCTGTCACGTCCCTTGGCCCTGGGCAGGACCACAGCACCTCTGCAAGTCTCTTGTTTGGCAGAGGTTCAGGTGCATGGTTTGAGTATTTAGCATCTGGAAGACAGGTAATATTTTTCACAGCTGTTCCCACCTTGTTTCCACAGTCACCAGGTTGAAAATCAAAAACTTTTGTTGAGTTTGAATGCCTGGCTCTGTGCATTAGCAGAAAAACATATTCAGAGCTGCAGCTGTTACAGTGAATGTGTGGTGTCTAACCAAAAAATTAAATTGTGGCATTCACTTTCTTATGGCACTCAGCTAAGAAATGGTTTCTCATAACCAGAGTCATTCTGGGTAAATCTCTTAAAGCACACTCACTGCATCCTGCTCTTCCAAAAAGAGACCATCTTACCTTGTCAGAATAATTTCCTCTGTTCAATAATCACAGAAATAAAACACTTACTATGTATTTTCACTTAATCCTCTAAGATGACAGAAGTATCAATACTAAACACTTCAGGTGAAATAAATTCACAATACAAAGATACTTTAAGACTGTAATACAACCTAGAAGATGTTTTTAAACCTATGTACTTTAGGTCATGATAAATACAAAGCTGCTAGCAAATCTATGTATGAGGATGGATTCATTCTTATAATTTTGAATAAGACAAACATAAAAATTTGTACTTGAAGACTCCTGAAAGCTCCTTTTTCAGAGCAGTGTCTTGGGTTCTGGTGTGTTTATATCCGACAGCTTGGCTGAAATAATATTTACTAATGAATGTTTTTACAATTGGCTCTATGAGCAACTCCCCTTCCTTCTATAAACACCACACTAAGAGAGCAACAAAGATTATGACAGAAATGTTTGTCCTCGTGGAAAGTTCCCAAACCAATTTTTGTGCAGTAATGTGGGGCCAGGATCAGCCCCAACCAGAGGGTGACAGTGAAGAAGCCGTTTTTGTCAAGTTTCCTGCACTTTTTAAAAATAATTTCCATCACCAAACTCTGAGTGTAACTTCACATTTCCGCTATGAAGGAAAGTGAAGACCACCCTTCAGGAGAGGAGAACTTCTTCACTCATTTTAATATTACCTTTGGCTTCTTCCCTCCTTCCTACCATGCACGTGGCAAACTTTTCAAGCCCACCAGGAAAACTTCTGTCGAGCTTTCAGATGCAAAATCCCAAAAGCTGTCAGGACAAAATGACTTGTGGAAGCCAGCAAACAATACACCTTCTCCTCCAAAATAAATGAGGGAGCTGTGCATCCCTTCCAGTCCCAGCAAGTTTGGAATCCACTTAGAAGCTTCTGCTGGATTCCATAGATGATTAAAGTTAAAATAGTGAAGGTTTTGCTCTAAGTCAAAATGGTGAGTTTTTCCCTATCCACTGGCAGTAAAGAGGAAAAAAAAAAAAATCTCACAATTTCTGCTTTCACACAAAAAACCACAGGTAAAAGTCAGCTTACATATATATAAATACATAAATGTATAAAATATATAAATATATAAAAAGAAATATATATATGTAATTTTTTTTTTCTGCTTGGCAGCAGCTGGCCATTCACCCAGCTCAAGTTCTCATCTGCTTAGCCAGGAAGGACATGATAAGGGATCCTGGAAAACAATAGGATGAAAAGTTTCCAAGGGATAAAGTCCTCTGGAAATCACATTCAGAATATTATAGAATAGAGAATATTCAGAGTGCTGCTAACTTTCCAGAACTGCAGCTCTTACTCTTTGGACAAGGAGAATAAATTGGAGATGTAGCTCTAATCTTTCCATTTCATGACACACAGACAGCAGTTGTTGCCTCTCTCACACACAAATGTGAGCTCAAAAACTCTCCTTTTTTGCCCTAAAATGCCTTGACACCAGAGGTGGCATCATGGAGGACCCAAACCCTGGAGGGCTGCTGCTCTCTTGAAGAAATTCAAACATCACAGTAAGGCTGAAAGAAACTTAACTTCAACATGAAATCATAAGCAAACCATCCTTACAAGAATTTCTTGCTTCACACAAAGTAAGGAACAGGGACAAGTGGAGAAGATAATACTAAAGAACCTCATACACTTGCCGCAATCCTCTTAAATTTAAACGTTAGCTTTGTTTTTAAGTTACTGTGTTTCTTACATATCTGTAAGAAAATATATAAAATATAAATGACATAGTGATATAATATTAAATAATTAGTTTTATTCAATCATTACACTGAGCAACTCCAATGTCCCACCAAGTTCTCTTGCCTTTTTCTATCACCTCAAAGCCTTTTAAGTACAATAAAAAAGTTAGGTGCTACTGTGATTCTCTATATTCACCTTTCCATGGCACTGATTAGAGAAATCTTGCTTTCTGCACATGTGTTTTAGATCTCCTGAGATAATTTATGCCTCTCATAATGAAAAAACCTCCTTTGTTTTGTGCTTGGAGCCCCAGACTGAAGCAGGTTCCACTGAAAGATCTGCCAAGGAATGCTCAGGTGAGCAATTCCCAGCAATTTCCTGCTGGTGACAAGATCTGGAGCCTGGGAACCCTTTTTTGAACTGAGCCATTAGGAACTTCAAGTGATATTGATCTTTTCTGTAAATGCACAGGAAATACAGCAATATTCCATTAAACTGCACAGCAACCCTGCTGTGATGGATGATCTCTCCATGCTCATGGGAAAGGGGGAACCAGGTGATCCTCAAAGGTCCTTTCAACCTAAACCACATTCTGAGTATTAGAAAAATGCCAAAAATTCCCATCCTAAAACAAGCTCTCTGCTGAACTTATGGACAAACATGTACTTTGTACAGGAAAAATTTATGTTAATTCAGTAATTCTTTTGGTTTTCCTTTTAATTTTAAGTTCATGTACCTGCCCGGCTCATATAAATGCCATTGATATATAAATATTTAATGTACAAACCTTGACTAAGAAAAAGCATTTCACTGCTCAGCTTTAACTGTGACAGAAATGCAAAACCTTATTTAGTGTTACTCGCACAGACTGGAAAAATGGGAAGAAAACAAGAAAAGAAAAAAAAAATGAAACCCCCAATTTGCCTCTTGATAAAGAATGTATATATTCATACACATGTATTTTATATATATCTAAGCACAGTCTTTATGTGCGTGGTATATAGAAAAGATATGTATATCTGATATGTGTGGTATATGAAGAGATAATTATTAAAATATCCAATTAAATATTTACATACACCCATAAAAAATAAGTATCTTTATATCCACAGATATTGGTAATACACATAATATATTCACACATAGGCACAGATATTCTGTTCCAGATGCACTTACCTGCCTTTTACGCATTTACAAAACTACAAATAAATTTTAAAATACGTATTTATATGGTAAGTTATATTTTATATACTTCTATATTCTTAAAAATTAGAACATGTTGTGAATGTATGAACTTCTAAAAAGACAGGAAAAAGGTAATATATATGTAGACATACATAACAAGTTTTCTATACACATACGTATCTATAATTTATATATACACATGCATATATATAATTTATTTATATGCACACACATATATATGCATCTGTATAATATGTAGTTTGTGATATAACCCAGTTTTCACGAGTAAATGGACCTGGGCCTCTGACGACACCCCTGAAAAGCAGCCAATGACGCGACTCAGCGCACTGCTCTGAGCATGACGTCCCCTAACACCACCGTGACGTCACGCAGCACAGAAATTACGTCGGGAAGCCGTGAGAGAACCGCACAGCAGCTGACCGACCTCGCACCAGGTGCTGATGCCCCGCACAGCCACAAAGCGAGGTTTTTCTCCTGCCACCAAACCCCTGATGCAAACGCGCCCCGCACTACTCCCACCAAAGCCCTGAGGGGGCTCCGCGCCCGCGGCCCGCGGCTT